CACTCATATTTAGCAGTTCTGTACAGTCTCTAGGTGACGCGGAAATCTGCGCTCGGCTCCTTGCTAAGTTGGATTAAGATCCAGATTTTGACATTGAAGTCTCTTGTAAGCGAATGCAAACGGTTCATCACTTTGAAACACGACACCGCTATGATTGTGCAGAGTCGCCCCATCATTGCAGATACTGTTCATGCTGCGCAAAAAGCAAGAAAGGCTGGCTTGAACAAGCCGTTCAACAGAACGCTAAACAAGCCGCCTACACCTTGTTGGTCATGTGGTGAATGGCAGTTCGCACGATACTGTCCATTCAAGCGTCACATTTGTGATTAGTACCATAAACGCGGCCACAAAAAAGACTTTTGTCACTAGTCCCGGCTAAGAAACGTGAAGCAGTTCTCCCGGAGGAAGGACTGCAGGAAGCCTGACGCAGAATCACTATCGTTGATTGCCACGTTTTCCAACGATTCTAGAGCACGCCGCCGATTTATCAACGTACACATCAACGGAATCCCAACCCGGCTGCAGTTTGATACAGCATCAGATATAACGATCATTTCGAAGAACACTTGGAAGCACGTAAAGTGGCCGAAGAAGGTTGATCCCAACAGAGTCACCTACAACGCATCCGGTGAAGTGTTGAAGCTGTTAGGAAAAATAACGTGCAATATTGCATTCAACGGAGTGGAACAGGTCGATACCTGCTACTTGTTTGACCGACCAAACTGTAGCCTCCTTGGGCTTAACTGGATGGAAAAGTTACAACTATTTGATGTTCCAATGAGTCAGATTTGCAATCGAGTTCAAACCGATCCAGTCCATGCATCATTGTTGATAGAAGACATGACGAGAAAGCTAAAGTAGAAGTTTGCTTTCTTGTTTGAAGATGGTCCCGGTCACTGCACTAAGTGCAAAACAAAGTTGTGCCTTCGCGAAGGAACCAAGCCAGTCTTCAGAGCAAAAGGACCGGTACCGTAAGCAGCCATGGCAACAGTTGCTCAGATCGACCGACTGGAACGAGCCGGTGTCATCATACCAGTGAATTACTCTTCATGGGCTGCGCCGATTGTTGTTGTGAGAAAGCCGAACGGTAAAGTGCGTGTATTCGCCGATTTTTCGATTGGCCTGAATGCCGCATTCGACGACCAACAATACCGCCTTCCGATACCAGAGGATATCTTTGCCAAGCTGAGTGGTGGGAAGTGTTTCGCCAAGCTCGACTTGTCCGATGCCTACCTCCAGGTCGAGGTTGATGAAGACTCGAGAGGATTGCTGACCAGTAACACTCATCGTGGTTTGTACCAGTACAACCGCCTCACTTTTGGAGTGAAAACAGCACCACCCATCTTCCAGCAGCTGATGGACACCATGCTTGCGGGAGTTTCTGGAGCCGCGGCGTACCTGGATGACATCAAGTTAATGGGTCGGACAGCAGACAAACTATTTGGGAGGCTCGCTGAAGTGCTTGAACGCATCCAGTCATATGGTTTCCGTATCCGTGAAGACAAGTGTACATGTTTTACACCAACCATCAAGTTTCTCGGCTTCATTTTATCAAAAGATGGTCGCCTCCCTGATGCAGGAAATACCCGAGCTATTCAAAAGATGCCCTCACTTGCGGACTTGCAATCGCTGCGTTCATTCTGTGGCCTAATCAGTCACTACAATGCTTTTCTGCCAGAACTGCATCGCCTGCGTGCCACGCTGAACAAGGGCCAAACCTGGAATTGGACGCCAGAATGCCAAACTGCGTTCGAGTGGGTGAAGTCATTGCTGGCTTCAGACCTACTCCAGGCTCACTTTGACCCGCCGCGAGAAATTCTCCTTGCCACAGATGCATCGAGGCTAGGGATCGGTGCCGCAGTTTCCCATGCATTCCTAGATGGATCTCAGAAGGTGATCGCACATGCTGCCAGGACGCTAAGGAAAACCGAAAAAAACTACAGTCAGATCGGGAAGGAGGCATCGGCTAAAGTAGTCACTGTAAAGAAATTTCACAAGATGCTGTATGGCAGCCGCTTCAAACTCTTGACGGATCACAAGCCGCTGCTGGTCATTTTCGGCTCGAAAAAGGGAATACCGGTCTATACAGCCGATCGACTCCAACGATGGGCACTCACCTTGCTGGGCTATGATTTTGACATCCGTTATCAGTCAACGGTTTCCATGAGCTAGACAGATGCGTTGTCACGCCTCATTGATTCCCAGCAGCAAGAACACGAGGACACCATCATTGCCTCAGTTGAGATCGAATCTTGTCAAATTCCTAGTGAGCCACGCATTGTATGGTCTGCCAGTTACGGATGAAGCTGTGCGGGCCGAAACGCTTCGAAACCCAATCCTGAAGTAGGTTACAGACTTCCACAGAACTAAATGGCCAAGTTCGTGTTCATCTGCCGAAATGCAGCGATTCCATCAGCGAAGACATTCGCTCTCCATTGTGAACGATGGCGTCATGTCCTCAGATTCGGCATCCCGTAGGCTTTGCAAGAAAGAGTGCTGCGGCAGTTCCATGCAGGACATCCAGAACTCAACCGAATGAAAGCGCTTGCCAGAAGTTGTGCATTGGCCGTTTATGGACAGACAGCTGGAGCAACTAGCTAGACGTTGTGGCAAATGTGCTACCGCTTCAAGGGCACTGCCAATGGCTGAAATTCACTCGTGGCCTAGACCAACTAAACCTTGGAGCCGTGTTCATCTCGGCTTTGCAGGCCCAATCCATGGCCAGGACTTTCTCATAGTGGTCGACGCCTACAGCAAGTGGCCCAAAGTGTCTCTCATAAGCAGCACGAAAACCAGCGCAACAGTCTCGAGGTTGCGACAAATCTTCAGCAGGTTCGGCTGCCTTGAAACATTGAAGATGGACAATGGAGCACAGTTTACTTCTGCCACATTCACGGAGTTCTGCAAACGCGGCGTCATCAAGCACTGCGGTCCCCATCATTCCACCCACAATTGATCAGTGAAGCGGAGAGATTTGTGGATACATCCAAACGCGTTCTCTTCAAATCAAGGAGAGAAAGAGACATAGAGGAGGTGATCGACCGCTTCCTCTTTCTGTACCGATCTACACAAAATTCATAAAGCCGGGTGGAATATCACCAGCAGAGGCAATGATGAAGAGAAAACTTCGCATGCCATTTGATGCAGTTCGGCCGTTCTCAGAGTCCACAGCTGGTAAAATGAACCTCAAGAAGGAATGAGACTTTAACCGGTGGTATGGTGCAGAAGGACGTTTATTTAAACCGGGTCAGCCAGTACTTGTACGTGATTATCGGCATGGATATGCACAATGGACGCCAGGCACGATCCAGGGCAAGGGCGGGAACGCCATTTACAACGTGCTGGTTGGAACGCAGGAATGGGTACGCTATGCAAACCAACTGCGACCAACAATGTGTCAGCCACAAGCAACAGAATCCGCCGAGCTTCCATTTGACCCGCTGACGGACAGCTTCAACTTGCCTAAACATCCCGTCGAAGAACCCTGTCATCAGACGAATGATATCAGACCGCAGAGCACAGGATTTGAATTCAGAACACTAGAGCTAAGGCGATGGGCCGATAGGCGCAGAACCCCTTCCAGGAGGCTTCAGGTCAATCCCAGGCTAGCATCATACACCGTGGCAGCCGTTTCAGGAGGGGAGGAATCGGGGAAAAGCTAAAAACATAAAGGAAAATCCATCATTTTAGCAATTAATGGATTATCTTCTATCGTGAATTGATTTCGAAGATCCCTGAACCTTCCATTCCTTCACGTGATCGCCGGCATACGGAGTTTTGGCAAGGAGGCTGCTAATTTTACCAGTTGACCATTTTCTAAAAGCCGAAGGTCATTGAGTCTCCTATATATTTGGCATAGGTCTGGCGTAACAGCACAGCGTTCTGGCGGCGCTTTTGGCTACGTTTGGCGGCGATTCTATTAACACGTTTCTCGTGATCAAGGTCGTTGGACTCTTCATTTTTCTTCGGCTGGGTTAAAATTTTTGCGGAGAAATGTTTGGATGTTTAATTCGGAATAGCGTGAAAACGTGAAGATCTAACAGCATGTATCGGGAGTTCAAGTTCTACTGAGACCGGAAAAGCAGGAGGATCTCGTGAATCTTCCATTTTGGAAAACGATGTTGAGCAAAAAGGGAATGTGATGAATTGACCTGTCAAAGGAGAGCCAAATCAACACACGATTCACATGATCTACCGAGCAATGCCTAAATTTCATGCACTAACAGTTCGCGCTGTGAAAGTCA